ACATGGGATATTTATAGTAAATCGGGTCGTAAATGATCGTAGATATTTTTACCAAAAAAGAGTAATAATAGTAATAATATCAGGACAATTCACATAGCGCCATCTAAACCCAGGTTAAGCTAGCTAAAGCTCATGTTGTAGGTACTAGATAACTGATACAAATACATAGTTTTTTTTTTGTAGTACACATAATACTAATAATACACGTAATACACAAAACGACCAGACCGATAAACAATCATAATCATGAGTACAAATGTTTATGCCGAATCGAACCCGCGACCATCGGAAGTAAGGTGGATATCTATTTTAATAAGTTCGTTTGGTTCGTTCGTGATCGTGATAATAAGATTCGTTATTTTACTGTAGTCTGTTATTCATATGCGCTTAATAGTATTAATTTCTTTATATTTCTAATTTATGCTTAAATTAAGCAATTACTGAAGATGTATATCTGTTACTCAATTATAATTAATCGGCTGGACAGTTTTGGTTAAAATTTTGTACACGAATAAATCATAAATATCGTAACATTGTAGGTTTATTATATCACGATATTCACACCGGACATACGGCATGTTTATAAAGGGCAACAAACGTAGATTATTCACTTTATTCGTCAAAATAAATTATAAAAAAACACTTATGTAGGAATAATAAATTGTCATATAACTGTACATCAGTCGTGTACGCTATTCGACGATAAACAGTTTTTCTAATAAAAAAAATATGTGCCTCAGTTCTGAATATAGTCTGGCTACATATTCGATTTTAATGACCCCAACATATGGTAAAGGAGTAAACAATTCATTTTTCATTGTCACTCACACCGTAGAGAGAGTAGGGGAGAGAGGAAATAAACAACCAAAGAATTGTATTTCATCATCTAACATACTATAATATTAGTATACGTACACACGAACGAAAGTTTGTTAGTATGGATGGATGTTTGTCTTTCACGCAAAAACTACTGAACGGATTTTGATGCAATTTTACAGAGCTTACCTACACATCAAAATAACATATAGGCTATAAATTCCATGCGGGTAAAACCGCGGGCACAGCTAGTATACCTATATATGTATAATGTATATATACACGTACGTAGTAATAGCATAAGAATTAAATAAATGCAATATTTGTACCTATACGATAAATGATAAAAAGTCACATTGATGTTAAATTTAAAATTACTTAATTTAAAGTTTTGTTTGGGATTAATCGGGTTTTCTATCTACATCAAAATTGTATATCTTATAAAATATTAATCTATTGACAACACAAATAACAGAGGTCGGTTACCAAATCGTACATAATCGTAGGTAAATGTACGATAACAATTTATGCACTACAAAATAAACATAATATTCGGTGTTAAAAGCAAAATTTAATAAAATTGTTGTACTATAATAATCAGTTATTTTTACCGATATATTTACATAAAATTTAATTTATACATTAGGGTGTAGACAAAGTTTGTCGACATTATATATTCTCTCCTATGCCTCTGTTTCTGAATAGAGATCACAAAAACTAAACTGAGACATATATAGAATATCAATCAATTCGAATGTATTGAAATTCTTCAGAATTTAACACATTGTCTCTTAGACTATTAATATACTCCAGTGTTTGTCAAACTTTTTCTTTAGGGCACCTTTGTAAGTTAAAAAGTTGAGTCGCTCCCAGGCAAATTTACAAATTATATCACCAATTTTAACAACTTGTATTAGAGATTTGTAGTTTATTTATAATAGTCCCTTTCTTTTACTCGCGATCCCTGAAAGACCCCCTTAGGGGCCGCAAATCCTCAGTTTGAAAAGCACTGATATACTCTATTCATAGCATCAAATACCAATACACCGGACGTTATTGTATATTCGCCCCGCGTGTCTGAATTGTTGACAAAATGTCAGTTTGGTTTGATACCGATGGATTATTAAACTAAGCAATAATACTTGGAAATTCAATAATGTCGACTCCGACATTCTTTTATTTATTATTATTTCTTATATAGAATACAATCTGTCTTTACATCATATTAATATCCGTAAAAATGTTACCAACAGACAGACAGACAGACACTAGAAATTACAATGCCTTAAACATTATCATGATTCTTTTTTCTCTTAAATTAAACCATACAAAATATACTACTAAACCGTAAATATGAATACCAATATGTTACGATTTGTTTGATTGTATTTAGCCACATTATCACTTTATCTTTGGTAATTCTGTACTGATTTTGATAATACTTTTTGCAATCGATAGTGTTTACACTCACAATAGATCAATACTTCAACCAATTTCGTCACGTTTGAAGTACCTACGTGAATTTGTGGAACAGAATATTAAATTATGTATACAATTTAACATGCTACCTTTCGTCCCGCTGCTTCGTCCGCGTGACTTTAATTGCCGTGTAATAAAAATTAGGTTATGATTACCAGGATTGACTACCTTAAAACACTTATCCTCGTACAAAAATATAATAAATCTGGTGAAATCTCGTATATTAGCCATATTTAGTTTTCTAACTTTGTACATCCTATATGTACTTTAACTTTACAGCCAATATCGTATTTATACGAGGAACCCCTATACTATAGGACAGCTATCTCCTCTCAGACTAAAATTTTTGTGCAGAAGTTGGGGTTAAAACACTATTTCTCTCACCGAAGATTTGGAGTGCTCTGCTAATGTTGTTTAAAGACTAGCTGCTGTTAGTCAAAGCTAAATCAATAGTGCTAAAACTGCTAAAATTGTGCATTACAATAGTTCTAAAAATATCTCCTTCACAGGGGAATTTCTGCCCCATCCTATAATTATTTAGGTAAATGTTAACTTGTGAAAGCGTAATAAACTTATCCACTTTTCTATTTATTATATTACGACTAGAAACAATAGCAAACTGCTAATGAGTTTTAACATGTTTTTGTCTAACGAAATAAACAGAAGATTTATAGTTTTAAAAATAACGGTGTCACATATTTTTGGCAGTCTTCGTAAAGAATTCCTGAAGCCAATAATATTCGGTATTCGGTACAGGTGTTACAGAGCTGTAAAAACTTTGAAACAAACTTAATAACGCTATGAAGCTTTAGAAGAATTTCAACATCAAAAGTGAATTTTGTGTCTATAATAATATTTATACTGCTTTATGACCGAGTGCATGTTTTGCTTTTACAGAGGTTTTACAACGTAGATTACTCAATTGTAGTTTATAGTCTTTCGAATACGTAAGAACGGGATGGATTATTAGTAATGAGGACTAGTGGGTCCATAGCCAGCAATATATGATATGATAATTAAATGGTATAGGAAGTGAAGGGTCATAAAGTAAGTAAAGTCCCAATTTAAGCAATTTAACACAAGTGTGTTATAGATACTAGAAAACATATATAAATAATTAAATATTTTTTAATAATAATAATAATAATACATACATAATATATGTAGAAACACCCAGACCAATTGAAATAACTCATGAATACAAAAGTTTGTACGGTGCGAGGAATCACGGCAGATTAGGATATCAGAGGAGAATGACAAAATGTGCATTAAGTCAAGCCAACGCATCGTGGCGTATTTATAAGGAATCAATTAGTTAACAAAGCTATTATTTTGGTATAAGACTAAATACAAGTCAACGTAATCAGTGGGGGTCAATTCTGAACCGTTATTTTCTAAACTTATCTCTAATGGACTGATTTTAACTATTTTTTTGTATGTTTTAGTTAAGATTATATTTAGTTTAAAACAAACTTCGATATATCTAAAATTATCGTAAAACTATGTAATATTATCTTATCTGTGGTGAAAGTAACTAATACCGCTTAAGTTTTTTAGTCTTGTAAGGATAACAAAAGGACAGACATACCTTCCACTGTCAAATAGATCTTACATAGTTGTAATCGCTATAATAGCTACAATCTGTTTAAAATTATTAATTATGGCTACAGCGTTTCATAATCAAGCCCCTTATGTTAATCACAGTTTACCAATTTATCTGTTTACGTTAACACCCTAACTGCTTTACTGTATACATACATCGATCAATCAAGTATTATCTAGCAATAGCAACTACCCGCCAGTAGATCTTCGGGGACTGATGGGAACCTTATGATCTGCTTATATATAAAATAATCATATCGCAAAGTTATCATATCATACTCCTTCGAAACGGCTTGACCGATTTTCTGAAATTTTACATGCATATTCAGCAGGTCTGGGAATCGACTACTATCTATTTTTTATATAAGAGAGAGAGAACAAAGAGAGATTTTTATATATAAGGTTAATGTGGATGTTTACAAGAGCATAGGAAAGCAAAAAATAGATATGCAGACTGTGTGAAAAATATATTAAGAAAGGGAGCAAATAAAGAGATGACTGAGAACAGAAATTAATGGAAGAGACATATTACGCCGAACCTAAATGAAATAGGGCAGGAACTCTACTATCCTTCTACATTTTGTAACAGTAGTTGTCAGACGATTACGAATCTATTATATATATAAATGTATTTATAACCTAATCCGAATATTTGACTTACATATATTACTTATATATCACGGTCATGATTCGTAAAACCGTAGAAGGAGTAAGACTAATTGATAGTAATGAATAATAATATTATATTTATTCTGTATTGAAATTATTAAAATAATAAAGCAGGCGACTGTTTCATGATATGATATACTTACGTTATTATTATTTAGCATACTGTCTTATTTTTCGGTGGACCCAGGTTCAACCTAAGTAGGTATATTAAGTTTTACAAAAAATATATCTAAAATATCTTTTTACTGGATATTTTGCCAAAACTAAGAAATACCGTTGATGTTTATTAACGCCATATGTAATTTTGTCAACTTTATGGAACATAATCATAATTAATGACGTAATATTTTCTCTCGCATTGAGAAGTATGCAGTTCCATATCCGATTGTATTCTTATTTACTTTTCGTAAATACATAAAAAATCTTCATTTCAGAAGCAGCTTGGCGCGGCGTAGCGGGCGGGCCGCGCCATGGGGAATAAATGCTGCAGCCGCCGCCATGACCCCGAAAGACCTTTGGGTAAGTCGCATTGTTTAGAAGCATCACTAATAGTCCCACTTATTTTTACCAAAGTAAATTTGGTTAATAATTCAACAGTCAGTATAGCAACAAATAGTCTTATGTATTTTTAAAAATAAAATTACACAATTCCAATTTAGAACGTAACGCGTGGAACATTGATATTGTTTTTTTTTTATGAATTTTTCACTTCATCTCGAAATTTCCGCGGTGTCAACTTTAAATATATCCAGTGTACATTCAATTTTTTTTTGTCTTTCGTTATTATTATTATAATATAAACAAAGCAATATTTCTCCATCAAACATCAAGAACTACACGAACTATTTCGTATATCTGTTTTTTGTCTCTTATTATGATAAGTCTTGTTAAAAAAAAAAACAAGAACAGTATTTGCGGAGAAAATGTTGATCAGCCTTTCCTGTTCTCTCGCGATCGCACGAACTAAAAGACCAAACGAACTAGTTCGTAAGAGTTGCGTTCTAATTAAAACGATCACAATCGCGAACTTATGCGTAAGATTACTATCAGCTGGCTTTGTATGCTATGTTTTCGTTTGATTAGTGATAGCAAGTAAGTAAATAAATTGCAGTTGAATAATAGTATATAGAGCCATGACACCTTATTCCTCAGAAATAACAATATATGAGAGATAACATGGCTTAATTTTTCTTTACGCCAAATTTCATTATGTTTAACCGCTGAGTGCAGTTTAGTCGTGAAAAGATAACAAACTGATAAAGACACAATATACAATAGTTCTCCGAAGTAAATAAAACTTATTGTATACAAAATTTATTAAAGTAAACAAATTTTTTTAGCTTATAATATTTTTATTCTTAAAAACTAATTGCGACACTTCTTTTTTTTTTGTTACTATATATCTAATGAAATTTGGAATGCATATATTTATATATATGTACTTATATAAACATGACTAATTCTTTAGATACCTATAACAATGGTTATAAATACAATGAACTATCTTATCGCTAGGACAAATCCTTTCCGTCCAATCTTTAGGTAGAATGTATATTGTCGTAAGATAAGACGTAAAAACGAGGTTCGCGAGGACTATGTATGGATAAAGTGAAACAAATATGAAATAAAATAGATGTCTCTTATAATCTTGTATTTCTTGCTACAACGATTTGTAATTGCTAATAAAATTACTTCCTTAATGGCGTATCATGAAATACGAGTATAAATTTATTTACTTACTTATTTTGTATCTTTATTTTAAACAAGAAGATTAAACATTATGAATTACACAATTCATCCATTACGATTCACACAGTGCCACATAGTGCCAAACTGATCAGTTTAATATACATACTAGCTGACCCTCCAATCGTTATTTTGCCATATAAATTAAATTCGCTATTAGAAAATAGGTGACAGAAGAGTGAAAATTTGGGGTTGTATGTATTTTTAGTGCCATATTATAAAAAAAATGGCCATAATTTTAAAAATAAATGTTAGGGATGGACAGCCCTTATAAGTGATAAGGACTGTCCATCCCTAAAAAATATTTTTAATTTATTGGTCAATGGGTATTGATATGATGATATTGGTCAATTGCTGATTCTCAAACCTACTGAATATGCGTATAAAATTTCGTAAAAATCGGTCAAGCCGTTTCGGAGGAATACGGTAACTAACATTGTGACATGAGAGTTTTATACATAAGAAGATATTCAGTGTGAACATGCACAGAATAATTCATTTATATTGTTTAAAAGTATTGATACATTTGTGTTCGTTTTTTTGTACAGTCCTTTATTTTCTTATTTTTTTTTGTTAGCAAGCGTTCGTAGGCTTCTGTTGATTTTATTTCAATCATCTAAATTGCTGTATGTCCCGAAGGTGTAACGGTCGTTTGCGGTATCATCCATATTTAATGAGCCATACCCATTCACAGGACGCTATTCACTTTAATGTGATTTTAGTATTCCGCAACTAATATGTAGACTAATCATATTAAATAGTAAATAAAATTTTATCAATAAGGCGCAAGCTTCGGCAATTCCTCTCGTGAGATTTGGGATATAAGAGATAAAGAGTCAACTTCAGTGAAGAGCTTATAAATCGTCTACTTATTATGCTATTTCAAAATTGCATGTTCTCAATATATATATTTTTTTCCTTACGATTTTGAGTCAATATAGTTAGACAAATCTAATTACATGATGATACTGTAGCAGCACACATGATGAGTGTACGAGCTACCACAATGTGTAAATTTTCCAGAGTTATTATAATATTATATTATAAGTACATTATGTATAATAATATATGAGAGTTCAGATGTGATGCCTATTAGAGATCAGTGGAAGAAGAGGACATGCGCCGCCTAAATTATAGGATAAAGGCAAGGCAATGATGGCGATGATGTATAACAATGTATATAATGTATTTAATATTATCACAGTAAAATAGAAATTCAACATTTGCAATCGGTAAAAAGTATAATTCTTTATTGAAAGTTTGTTCTACAGTCAGTTCATTCAAGATCAATTGTGCTTGTCTTAAGCCACAATCTTGATTCACACAGCTTTACCATAGAGTGAGGATTACATACATAACTTCTGAGTGAAAGCTTTTCATTCCATGCTGATTCTGGTATGTTATAAACGTTGTATAGAAACACGAGAGCTATGAACAATAATGTTGATATCGCTAAGTAATGTTAACAACATTTTTCGTATTGTTTATGTTTTAGTTAATCCACACGGACATCGTGTGGATTAATCAACTGTATGACAGAACTTAATTATTTTTTATATATTGTAGTAGCTATTACTCATTATCTCTCGTGCTCTTAGCGCTTTCACTGTCGCAGCGTAGGTTGGCTAGAAGAGATATCTTTTAATGATAAGCCCAACAATTCTGTACTTAATAATGTTTAGTTCCAAGTGTATAGAAATAAATTAAATTGAAATGTTTGGATTATCTAATTAATAGATTTTCACTAAATGCATATAAAATATATAGTACATACGATACTTACATCAAAAAAATCCTGTTTCTTTGTTCCTGGTAATCTTTGAAAATGCTGAGTAATAGGTGCAATTCCATGCGGACGAAGTCGTAGCTAACTACTACTAAAGAATATATCAATATATTTAATTTAACATTGGTAAATATTCAAATTCAATTCAAGGTGCATATTTTTAGAAAGAAGACCTAAGTACACTTAGTCTCAAGATTCATTGAAAAAGGTATATCAGCTACTGGAATAGCATAGTAATCGTGGTGATAATGTGTTATATTGTGTGTTATTTTCACGGTCCATCACAATCGGTGTGCGTGCGAACATCAACTCCAGGTCGGTTAGTCACACGCATAGGAAACTGACACTGATATAGTTAATTTTCTTTAAACTTACTCTTCCCCTTCCTTTAGAACTGTAAAAAAATATAATGTTTGGTTAACTACTAGTAGTTCTTCATATTTTTCTAATCTTTGACGACCTTGCGGTCTGGTACTAAACCACACACTGCCTTACTTTGATGATTGTTTGTTTGGTTTCCACACAATATAAACTTGTGTTCACTACTCATTTCTCTGAACACAAGTTTATAAATATTATGGACATACTGTGTATGAATTTAAAAAAAAGCTAACAGTTATCTAATACCCATAGTACAAGCTCTGCTTAGTTTAAGACAGGAAGGCGTTGTGAGTTATACCAGCTTACAATATTTTTCTTCCAATTAAAAAATTAACGTATTTTCGTGGTAGGTACTTACTTTATAAAAAAAAATATTGAACCATTTAACAGGATTATTTCAGGATTTTATATCAATTGAACACATTCTATAAACGGCAAACCTTGATCATGTTATTTTAACCCACGGCGAGATTTTTTGTAACAGCGTCTAAATATCACTCATAAATATAGAATCTATATAATTGTAATTGAAAACAGCATATTTTTATATCAGTACCTAAGTCCAAATAATTTTAAGAAAGCCGTCTTTCTTCGTGTCTATAACCAAAAGTTTTATATAATTATATTTCCATATATTCTGTGAGTTCAATAGCACTTTTAAAAGACTACAACTGAGCGTTATTTATTTCCTTGAAATGAACAATGGTCTAGATATTTTCGCACGATGCTAAAAGTTGCCCTGTTAGATTCAATTTACATTGCTTCATTCCAGTTTACTCGTACAACAGTGTTTTGAGGTCATCTCCATTGTTTAGAAACCACAATTAATGTTCCAATGGTGTTAATCAATTCCAAATTTGTTGATTAAAGGTCAGTTACTTTAGCGTATGTTGAAGAAAAGTTCAATAATACATATATACGCTTAATATCTTCACAGTGTAATATACATAAACAACTAATAATAATGTTTTAGGACAATTTACACAGCGATATCTAGTCCCAAGGGAAGCAGATGTTATGAGATAACTACTATTTTTCATTTTGTAAATACATACACAGTATAGATAGAAAACACCCAAAGCGATACAAATAATCATATGTTTGAATACAAATGTTTAAGAGTGACATTCTACCATGTTGGTAGAGAGAATATCTTTCTACCAAGGTATATTATATAGTAAATAGTACTTATTTCAACTGCAGCAGGTAGTTTATATGCTATTTCGATTAAAGGGTGAGATTAGGTAGTGAAATTATAATATAAGAGGAATGACAACTTAGTCCTCCGGGATATAACGCATTAGCGAACATGATGACGTGATGTCCGTATTGCTGTCGATATATTCCTATTTTATGTATATATAAGAGATTGTTGCCAATTGCCATCAGATGGGCTGTCAGCTTGCTTGTCATTCCAATTAACATATATAAAAAAGAAAACAAGAGAAAAAAAAACAAGTAAAAGTTAATCCCATACTAAAATAATATTATTATTAATATTATAAACCTGAAAGTTAGTAAGGATGAATGGATGGATATTTGTTACTCTCCAATTCAGAAACTACTTAACAGATTCAAATTTCATTCAGTATACAGACAGATCAGTCAGATCCACAAGAATAATTAATAGATAGCCCAATTAATCATAATTAAATTTTAAATTATACAAAACAATTTTCCTTGTGAAGTGTACTTTTCAAGTTATAGTAAAAGGTCGAGGTCATTCACATTATATTCTTTACCATTTTAATCTCATTTTTCATATTCTTTTTAATTAGTAGCTACTCTTTAATTACTTTAGGTTTTTTTATGTTACTGCCACTGCCTCTTAATCTGACGGCTTATTTAAATAATTCCAGTTTACCCGGCGTACAAGAATGAAACAGGCTTCACAGCATGTCCATCGTTGGAGACGCGGTACACGGGCGAGCCGAACAACCGCGGCATGTCCCGCCCTCTAGCAGACATTGTGCGCACACGGAATCCTGGAAAATGTAAGTGATACATTAAAATAAAATTATATTACCTACTGAAATTATTACTATTTTATGCAATATCAACTAAGTACTAATGAATGGACATACACCTTTATAACATTAGTAGTCTACTGGCCCGCCTTCGCATTGTCTTAAAATATCGACCGTATGTAAGAAATTCTTTGCAATGCAATCCGATGGCTTTAACACTACAAGTGTAAATTATATCAAAACTTTTTCTGTAATAATGGAGATCATTTTGATATTCCTACTACTCACCATACCTACATTAATAGTGACTATATATTTTATTTGTATTTTTAATTTTAGTGCGGAAATATGGATGCCTGAAATGACTTGCATAGTTACATGTGCAATCACATTACGAGTTAAAGAGTTACGTAGACAGAATACATAATAGTACAGATATATGATAATATTGCATTATTGCTCATAAACTGCAATTTATAACAGTTACAAGTACAGTCACAAAGGGGTGCATTGTATCGGTTCTAAACAGAGGTTTCCTGCTCGGATATCTGATACAATGGCAGCACTGATATGTCATTACGCCATTGTTTATACAAACATATGGAGCTGGCGAGCCCGCGGCTTGTAGCGTCGTAATGATTCATAATGAATACTGTCCGACCGAATTCTTTTGGTCAGAATCGGAATAAAATTGCACTTTCGGTTTAGTTTTAGTGTCGTCAATGATTGATTTACTATCAAATAAACCTAAACCGTAACTATCCACCTACACTATAATATTTGTGAATTTACCATTAATTTTGTTAGTAGGCTATAACGACAACAGATTACCAAATAAAATAAAAGAGTTAACGAAAAGAATTTAATAACAAATATATTTTAATTTGTGCATTTTAGCATTTTCATAATGTGACTGAGTACAAAATGGTTTATATTACAAATGAGTAGAATAACTATTATACTATTTGTATTTGTATATAGGTATGCTTAATAAATTGTAAGTATGTCTTAAAAAATATATCAAATTGCCTTTGTATGACGAGCGACATGTTCTAAATTACTATTAAAGTCAAAAATTTGTTGGCCGATATTAAAAATTCTTTGACATATGGGCAGCTGCGTTATCGTGCATACATATGGTGCATTACGTTACGTTAACGGTATACGCTGCCGGGGCATTAGTGGAAAGACGAAAAGATGAGGCATGCTCGTATAAAGAACACAATATACCATACGTTGCTAGAAATAGGGTAATTAATCCCCATTAATAACAACCCCCGCCCCCTCCTATCATGGGCTTTAATTGTAGTCGTCGCCGCAATATAGCTAGTTGTTTTAATGTAGCCAATAATTTAATTAACAGGCATAACGAACGGTGGGAGGCGCATCGTGAAGGCACTATGTGCTTACACTGCACGTGCGGATTCCGACATATCGTTCCGGAAAGGTGATCGCATGGAAGTTCTCAGCGACGCCGAGCCCGACTGGTGGAGGGTGCTGCATCTGACCACGAGGAGGGAGGGGCTAGTTCCAGTCAACTTTGTGGCCGAAGAGAGCTCGGTCGAGTGTGAGGAGTGAGTAATCTGCGGTTATTTATTTAATTGTAATAGCAAACACACTAACGTCCTACAAAATAGAATGTGTCAATATATGTGTAATAACCATTAACCATATATATGAATAGAACAAATGTAAACATAAAGTTACCATCAATGTCATTGTCAAGTTAATAAAGTAACATACGTAGATTAGGTGGGGTCGGTTTTCGGGATGCAAAGTAACGATGGATTCAATTTAACATCGTAAGTTCTGATTCAAACAGATCTAATTCCCCTCCTTTATTAGTATTTGCAATTCGGCATTGCGGTGAACATTTGTCATGTCTTCATTGTGCTGAGAATATTACTACAATGCGACTTTCTGGGGCGGAAGGGGATTATGAAGGGGAAGTAATGTGGACTCAAGACCCCATTACTAGCAATGTACCATGTCGGGTTGACCTCCACGCGGTCCCCCTGGAAACTGAAAAACTGGGTAAATTCCTGGTGTATTTGTCGCGATGGCCTAACTGACCTGACTTCATGTTCATCTTATCATCCTCGGCTACTTTCTGCGACTAGAGGATATGCTTTTAAATAAATTTTTAAGAAATTGTCTGTCACATGAAAACAACCCACAAAAGATGACGGTGCCGAGAGACTTCTACTAGCAACAGTGATATGTACCTCCTTTATGCTCATAAAGTCTTATTTGAGTATAAGGCCTTATCAACAATCGCTTCTGGTTTACCCCATATGGTATTACCTACAGTCGCGTGAGCGTATACTGTTTGTATATTAAAATATAATGGCATTTCTCCCCACGCCAGCCTGTCTTTATTAGTTCGTCTGGTCGATGTTCCATATCAGTGAACACAATCAAAGTATAAGATTAGGGCTTTTATACGTCGCTTCCGGTTCACAAATTAATTATGCATAACTATGCAGATTCATAGAACTTCGTTGGTGTAATATAATGAAATTATGTATATTTTATTTTAAGACTAAGCTATTAGTGCCCCACCGACTGTAAGATTTAAAAATGGAATCATTCTATTCTGGAGGATTTTAATTTATTATAATTTGTGAATTTCGACAATTTATAATCAATGTTACATTTCTCTAATAAATAATATTTATAATGAATAAATTCAATAAAACCCGACATTTACAATTTTGAAAAGGGTGTGTAAGCAACTAAATCAGTGAAAGTCAGGACGGTCCCGCTTTAAACAAATTTATACCCAATTTGTTTCGGGATTTACTCAATCAACAAAATATATTTGAATACTTGAATATAATTTCAGTACAGAACTAATGGACTTTAATCGAGAATATTTACACCTCGATGCCCAAAATGTTTCAAACATTTTCTTTCATAGAAACAGATCAAACAAAGGGTTATCCGTGCTTAAGTGTTGGGTCAATATATACGGCAATTTTTATGGATATCTATAGAGTATGTTATTATGGACACCAGGTTACTAGATTTTCATGAAGTTCTCAACAATACGTTCCTGACCAATATCTTGGTAGCCTATAAAAAACCTAACAATTATATATGACAATTCGTAAAAATTTGGTTCCCACTCTTTTCACAATTTTTTTTATCTAAATACGTCTAATAACTGCAAACAGCATTTTTATAAAGTAATAATGTAGTTGTTCAAGATCCAAATATATATATTTGGGTTAAAATAAATGTTGTAATTCTTAGTCTAATCGGTGAGTTTCTGCTATTTTGTTACAGTTGGTTCTTCCCGCACGTTTCAAGGAAGGAGGCCGACAAGTTGCTGTTAGCCGAGAGCAACCCTCGGGGAACGTTCCTCGTAAGGCCAGCGGAGCACAATCCTCACGGATTTAGCTTGAGTGTCAAAGACTGGGAGGAAGGCAGAGGATATCATGTAAAGCATTACAAAATCAAGCCGCTCGACAACGGAGGATTTTATATAGCAACTAATCAGACGTTCCCAAGTTTGCCGGCTCTAGTCATGTCTTATACAAGTAAGTTTCGTTATTGTATTTGTAGAAACGATTAATTAATAAACGCGCAATAGTTGTTCATTCACGTGTTTTTCATTTAATGACACAGACATCTACATAAGTACAGCATGTTATTTACATTGTGAGTTTGAAAACTTAAAATAAAGAAATGCAGGTGACTTTCTTGCCAGTTCTTCTCAATTAAATCTGTATACTGAACTGGACGGTAGGGAAACAAATATTAATACAAAAAACTAGACGTTCATAAGCGCCAAAAATGTTTTTTGATTTAATTTAAAAGAGATCATTAATTACTTTGTACGAGAGAATCCGAACAGACAAACCCGACAGTTTCGAGCTGTTGTATAACAATAATTGTGTGTGTCTTTTATTGTCACCCTCAATATAACTTTTTATCAAAAAAGTCAAATATGTAGGGTACTAAAATATAATCATTCCATGTAAGCCTCAATACAAGCAGTCATATTAAAAAACATGTTTCTAAAATATAAAGGTGTTTTAATCCATAATATTGGCGACGAGTGATAAATTTATAGTGATAATAAATGTACAAACATGCAAGCAATTAAATTCCACGAGTACCGACCCGGGAATGAAGATTTTAGTTACTACATAGATAGGCTAAATTATTGTTTTGTGGCAAATGGAATTTGCGACGATAATGTGAAACTTGCTAATTTCTATACAATTTGTGGCTCTGAGGTGTTTGAAACGGTGCTAGCTTTGATAATACTATGTAGGCTAAATTATTGTTTTGTGGCAAATGGAATTTGCGACGATAATGTGAAACTTGCTAATTTCTATACAATTTGTGGCTCTGAGGTGTTTGAAACGGTGCTAGCTTTGATAATACCAAGAAAATCACATGAAGTCAGTTTTAACTATGTGGTTGATTTATTGACAAAACATTATACACCTAAATCTAATGAAATCACCATGTCCTACAAATTTTACAACCGCAACCAAAGGGAAGGCGAAAAGGCGCTCGATTACTTAACAGAATTGAGGAAAATAGCTGCACATTGTAACTTTAGTAATTTGGAACGAAATCTTCGCGATCGTTTAGTATGTGGGATGCAAGATGAGAAATTGAAATTTGAGTTACTGAAACGAGACAACTTAACATACAAGGAAGTGGTGGATTGTCTAACAGCAGCAGAAACAGCACATCGTGACGTCACAATGATGCGTGCAGTGCAGCCGACCCCAAGTACATCCAGTTCAACATTTGAACCAATGGATATTGGTGCCATACGTGACAAAAATACCACCAATAATAGATATAGATTCTGTTATCGATGTGGTGATAAACATAGTGGTACATGTCGACATGTGAACTCTAAATGCAATTTTTGTCAAAAAATTGGGCATTTAGAGAAAATTTGTACACAGAAACGTAAAAATCAGAATATCCGTTACACAACTGAGGAAGATTCGAATATTCAGAATAATGATTCACTTAACGGTATATATTGTGTGAATGATATAAACAATCTACAGAGAATACCGCCTATACAGGTTGATGTCTTATTGAATGGTTGCGAGACAAAAATGGAAATAGATTCGGGGGCATCATATTCAATAATAAATGTAAATACATTTGAAAAATTGCCTAAATACTTAAGGAATAAGTTACAACCAATGATTCTACGGTTATCAACATGGACAAATACATCACTGCACTTACTAGGACAATTAGATGTTGATGTGACATATAATAATAAGCAATGTCCATTAACAGTTATTGTTGCTAAAGGAAAAGGCCCTAATTTGTTGGGTCGGAACTGGTTTCAACCTCTAAATATTTCTATAAATAATATAAATTTAATAGAGCATGAGGGCATACAGTGTGAAGACTTACTAAATAAATATAAAAATATTTTTTCACATGGCTTAGGTACTTACAAAGGAGAGCCTGTAGCAATACATTTAGTCCCAGGAGCTGTCCCTAAATTTATAAAGGCGAGACCAGTACCATATGCTCTGAAAGATCGCGTAGAACAAGAGATAGACAATTTGGTCAAAGACGGTGTATTGAAACCCATACCGTATTCAGAATGGGCAACTCCCGTAGTACCCATTGTAAAAAAAGATGGCAGCATTAGATTGTGTGGTGATTACCGAAGCACAGTGAATCAAGCTACAGAATCGGATACATACCCGATGCCGACTGCTAATGAAATTTTTGCGCTCCTGGCAGGAGGACGATTTTTTACAACTTTGGACCTGGATCGAGCGTACACACAGGTGCCAGTTGATGAACAGACATCAAAACTACTGACATTAAATACAACCAAAGGTCTGTTTTCAGTACATAGACTAGCATTTGGTGTTAAAGCCAGCCCAGGTATTTTCCAGCGAGCAATGACAGCATTACTTGCAGATGTCCCAGGAGTTGCTGTTCTGCTCGATGACATTATTATTACTGGTCATACACTAGAGGAAATGAAAACTCGACTGAATATAGTTCTGCAACGTTTAACAAACAAGGGACTAAAGCTTAATCAAAACAAGTGTAAGTTTGCAAAGACGCAAGTTGAATTCTTGGGATTTCTAATAGATGCCGAGGGTATACACCCTGCAAAAAGTAAAATTAATGCAATAATAAACACGCCACCTCCAAGGAATGTTCAGCAACTTCAAGCATTCCTTGGATTATATAATTTTTATGAACGCTTTGTACCTCACAAGGCAACAGTTTTGGAGCCACTACATAGATTGTTGGACCAAAAGCAGGATTGGAAATGGAGTAAAGAGGAACAACAATCTTTTAATACCGCAAAAAGTCTACTTGCAAATGATGTCTGTCTTACACACTATGACACAAAGAAGAAACTGATTTTAACTTGTGATTCATCAGACTATGGGGTAGGAGCCGTTCTGGCACATATTATGGATAATGGTGATGAGAAACCAATAGCTATGGGATCAAGAACACTACACCCACATGAAAGACGATATTCTCAATTAGATAAAGAGGCCACGGCAATTCTGTTTGGGATTAAAAAATTCAACAATTATTTGATGGGTCGTCGATTTACAATTATAACGGACCATAAACCGCTTCTGGGAATATTTGGGACTAAGAAGAAGATACCAGATATTCTTTCACCACGATTGACTCGTATATGTTTGACCTTAGCAGCACATGATTACGAAATTGAATATAAACGTGGTAAGGAAATTAGTAATGCTGATGGACTTAGCCGCTGGCCAATGCCAGTATCATCTCAAGATATTGATACTCCAGGGGAGGTTCTCTTAATAGCAGAAACACCACATGACTTGCCATTTGGTCCAAAAGACATTGAAAGAGCAACTTCTGGAGATCCAACTCTCCATAGAGTAAAATGGTTCATTTTGAAAGGGTGGCCAGCCCGAATTACAGATAAAGAGTTACATACATATTGGTTACATCGCTTGGAGTTGAGTATACAAGATGGCTGTATTTTACTGGGAAGTCGTGTGGTATTACCAAATAAACTTAGAGAGGACATGTTAAAACTATTACACCAAACTCATAATGGTATAGTACATACTAAAGCTCTGGCTAGGAGTTATGTATGGTGGCCACAAATGGACAGAGATATAGAGAAGATGATCAGCAACTGCCATTCCTGTTTAGAAAATAGAAATATGCCAACAAGATCATCACATGAATGGATTATGCCTGCTAGACCATGGTCCCGTATTCATGTTGATTTTGCAGGACCTTTTCAAAATAAAATATTTTTGATAGTAGTAGACTCATATTCAAAATGGCCTGAGGTTCACATTGTAAATTCTATGGCATCTAGCATTGTTATCAAACATTTACGATATATCTTTGCGCAACACGGGCTTTGTGAAACATTGGTATCAGATAATGGTACATCCTTCGTGTCAAAGGATTTTGAGGACTTTTTAGTGGCTAACAAAATAAAACATATTAGGACAGCGCCATATCATCCCGCCACCAACGGGCAGGCCGAGAGAATGGTTCAAACTTTAAAAAATAAACTAAAAAAGATGACAGATGTACCTTGGGAAGTAAAATTACCAAGAATTTTGCTGACATTACGTAGTACGCCTTGCACATCAACTAAGAGAAGTCCAGCCGAATTATTGATGAATAGACAGCTGCGGACTTTATTAGACACTGTTCACCCAAATATCAATTATTACAGAAAGACAGAAAATCAGATTATACATAATGCAAATAGGAAGAATCGTGAAACTCAAGTTGGAAAGAAAGTAATGTACAGGAACTATGCAGAAGGAGAAAAGTGGAAATCTGGAACAATAATAGGGAAGGAGGGTCCTTCTAGCTATAGAATAGAAACAGAAAATGGAGAGTGTATGCATAGACACATAGATCAATTGGTAACACTTAAGGACACAGAGACAGAAGAGTTAAGAACACAGGAGACAGAAAGTGAAATACAAGAACAGGATGCAGAAGTGGAGCAGGAATTGACAAATGAAAACTTAGGTGAAGATCAGACATGGGAAACAGTGCAGGAGCAAGATATAATTGAGATACCCAGTTGTGACCAATGGGCGGACATGCTGGGAATACCATCAACATCAAATGTGGGAAAGATAAGAAACAAACCCAAAGGACATTCTAAACTCCCTTATGATAGATTGTAAATAGGATAACCATATATTGTTGATTTTTTTCAAGAGTTTGTTAATATTAGTGTTAAGCTTGAGGGAAAGGTATGTTGTATAACAATAATTGTGTGTGTCTTTTATTGTCACCCTCAATATAACTTTTTATCAAAAAAGTCAAATATGTAGGGTACTAAAATATAATCATTCCATGTAAGCCTCAATACAAGCAGTCATATTAAAAAACATGTTTCTAAAATATAAATGTGTTTTAATCCATAATACGAGCAAGGCAACTTCGTGCTCTTGAACTATCGTAATCCTATTACTGCAGCAAGCCCTTACCTATTGGTCTGTCAATTTATCATCACTGCCCAAAGAGACTACTGTTTGAACACAAGACGCTGTTCCCGCTAGCGGGCTTTTATTCTTCATCTCTGTCTATTTTATTTTTCCAACCCTGGGTGGGTTTCACCACATTTATCTGAAGGTCGAGTACGACGGCCTAATCCGTGTTTCAACTGCCTAGTGGTAAACTGCAAAAATACCCGTTGAAACTGCAAAAATATTATTTGCTAGCTACAAATTTCAAATGTGAATTGTGTACCTAAGTGCCTATTCCATGGTCCTACAATATAAATAACTAGCAATTTACATAACATCTATTTTATTATTACCTATATGTTATTCTGATATATTAGATAAGCTATATTACATGAAAGTTTATTCCATGTTTAATTTTGCACATTCTAGAGAATGCGTTAGGACTGTGCCATGTGCTAGCGCGGCCGTGTCCAAAGCCCGAGCCCCAGATGTGGGACCTTGGTCCAGAGTTGCGCGACAAGTGGGAGATCCCCCGGAGCGAAATACAATTGCTCAGAAAACTAGGACAAGGCAACTTCGGGGAGGTGTATTATGGCAAATGGCGGAATACTATAGAGGTCAGTGTATTTTCAAGTTGTAATATTAGTAGTAAGCGCAGCTGGGATTATGAATGATTTGATTGTTTTACGGTTAAATATAACGGTAAAATAAATAGTTTAGGTATAGATAATCATAAAGAGGATATTTTCAATTAATAATTAAAGAAGAAACATGATATAGATAGACATAGAAAAATTGACCAATCATCCAATTTTCTATTAATGCTATTATAATATTGAAGTTTCTCTCTAGATATAAATCAGTTATTTTTCATTGAAATACTCATATAAAGACCTTTATGCTATGACGGTGTAGTAAACACAGCCCATACACATTTTGACGATAACATGTAATTTAGTTTTATAAGTTCAACAACATGCTTTCAAAGTGTTACATTACATGCTTTTAAAATATATAACTATCTGTGTTTCAAAGAAGTAAAACATCACATTACAATCTAATTTTGATAAATATAAACTATGAATAAAATTTCAACGAATCAAATACTTAATCGTATTTCACTGTAATGTAATTATAATTTTGTCATTGCAGGTTGCCGTAAAAACGCTTAGAGAAGGTACTATGTCTACTCAGGCATTCCTCCAAGAAGCAGCAATCATGAAGAAGTTTAGGCATAAGCGACTTGTCGCCCTTTACGCGGTGTGCTCTCAACAAGAGCCCGTGTATATTGTCCAAGAATATATGAGCAAAGGCTCTCTATTAGAGTTCCTTCGAAACGGCGAAGGAAAGTTCCTTCAATTCGAAGACCTAATATACGTCGCAGCACAAGTGGCCTCGGGTATGGAATATCTCGAATCAAAGTTGTTAATACATAGAGACTTAGCTGCTAGGAATGTGTTAATAGGTGAAAATAACGTAGCAAAAATATGTGACTTTGGACTTGCTAGAGTGATTGAAGACAACGAATACTGCCCCAAGCAGGGTTCAAGGTTCCCTGTGAAATGGACAGCCCCTGAGGCTATTATATACGGCAGGTTTTCTATTAAAAGTGACGTCTGGTCGTATGGTATTCTACTCATGGAATTGTTCACTTACGGACAGATTCCATACCCAGGCCTTCACGGTAAAGACGTTATAGAGCAAGTGGAAAGAGGTTATAGGATGCCAAAGCCAGTTGGACATTATTTACCTGATGATATCTATAGACTGATGCTGCAGTGTTGGGACGCGACACCCGAGAAGCGACCGACTTTCGAATTCCTGAATCACTATTTCGAATCGTTCACAGTGACCAGTGAGATACCGTACAGAGAAGTGCAAGACTAGTGCTGTGATATAGTGAAATAGTTATTTTGTAATTGATAAAAGACAATGTACCTCCCCTATAGTTAATACGGGAATTGTAACGCCGGTGTGGATAGTACATATTACATTTTATGACCAGGAAAATAAATTTAACGTTAAATATATTTCAGACCAATATGTCGATGATTAGGGACATATAAGTCTGTTAGTTAATTAAATTATCATTAAGTAGAAAATTTAATTTCCTGTTCATGACCTTGCAAATTATACAGCAGCAGTTTCGAGTTACCATTTAGGTAAATAGTGTATATATCTATATACAGGTTGAGACGGAAAGTATGTAATAATCTGGAATCTAACCACAGTCCTAATGGAAATAACAGCAGCGCTCAAGAATGTCATATTAGATTTAAAAAAAGATCGTAGATAGTAAAGTTACCATATTTTTTAAACTCAACAGTGTGAAATAAATCAAGCCCATTATTAGATTGGGTCAGTTAGGTGATTGTAGTAAGATTTCGAAAAGGTTTGAGTCTTAGCTTAGTAGATACAGCCATCAAATTAGCCCTGTATATAGGTATAATCTATCTCGATGCTACATACACTGCCAAAACTGTAATGGCTACTTCACACACCCTTACAATTCCATTTCATGTTTAGTATTTTTATACTGGAAGCATTACTTATTAAAACAATACAGGAACGCGTGAGCTTGTCATTTATTGGTCGTCGGCTTCTAATTTCTGATTTATAGATTGTTGAAATTATTGTAGTGTCTAAGTCTGACATTGAAACAGATGCGAACATACCGCATAATTCCACTAAAGCGTATTTTTAAGTATTTATAGTCTTATGCAATTTTCACTGATTATTTTCTTATTTATTAGCCTCTTTAGCTTAAGCACACGTAGGTTATTATTTTGCATTTTGTACAAAACAAATTGTTCACTATAATATAAGCAATAAGGTTTAAAATCTAAAATTTACACGATATTTTCATATTCTAAAATGAAATGTGATATTTTTTCATCACTTATGGGCCACTGATATGTATAAAAAAGAACTCCGATTATGCTCCACTATAATTATGATGATGTAATTAAAAAATTATAGAAAACATTGTATAAAAATAATTGTTTATTTGCTCACACTATGCACGATTTGTATCAAACGCGTGCATTAGAGCAAATTTTGTATTGTGTTTGAATACAAATTAATAATTTATATTATTATTTACTAATTTACAGTGTGACTGAATATCTTCAATATTTTTATAAAACCGAATGTCGAATTTAACTGCCGCATTGCAATCGAACGGCTGCCGGGCCTTCGGTAAACGGTAAGGCTGACTGTCAATTCCTAAGAAAAATAATTTCTATTTGTAAAGCCAATACCTAAGTTCCATAGGGAAATATAACGTTTAATTTTTCTTCAGAGGCACTCAACTTATAGCAAAATATTCGTGCATCCATCGTTTGATACATATCGTGCATACAATTCCTATTTCATTTTGCGTACCTATATTTGATTAATCAATTTCCTTAAATAAAAGCTAGGCCCCTTTGCAACGCTGTTCGCCTGGTGTCATATCTAAATATACACATGCAAAAAACATTATTGTAAATTATTATCAATTTTCAATATTATTATTATTATTATAGTTTTCTTATTTTTATATGACAAAAACATGAATTGGATAAAACAATCATTTACAATTATTGTTATTGATTTACAAAATACGATAAAAATGCTAACTGCAAAGGGACCCACTGCCCTCATGTAAAAAGACAAATAAACTAGCTTTAGGACTGTATACCAAAGAGTTATTTGTAAATTATAGTGAACGACGGACGTAGACGGAGCATATTTAATTTTTAGTATAGATCTTGTGACCTGTATAATATTAATTTGACCAATATCCTCTTTCGTGCGTATGGCTATACTGTATTAGACACTATTGTTATTATAATTGAAATCTAATATAGACTGATTATTGAAGCTCGTTATTTGTAATTACTATACCCGCTCCGTTTTTATTTACTTTTCTTAATCTGAAGACAATATTAGTATCTCTTTTTAAAAGTTAGTCACTTATAAATAAATGAGAGATAATTATATTACTCTACTATAAAAAGCAAGCATTTAAAACATTAATGTTATCAGAGTAATGTCGTAAAAGAAAAGTAAAGAAAAACATAACTACCTACTTCTAAGTTTTGTAATTATCAGATATAATAGTATTGTTGCCAAGTCTTAAAGGCGTAACTATGCTGTCATTTCCAATGATTACAGTTCTTGCACGAATATATTGTTACTGATAACATAGACCAGGGGAGACGAGGAGGATGTTTTTATTAGATGAATATCAAATGGTGCATCTGCCGACTGTTGCGGCCAAAGGCTGACATAAACAGTACGAATATAAATTCAAGTTAGTTAGCCCATCTCGACGTATTTACATGGATTAACCACAATTATTTCCAGGGCTGCCATTATTGAGAATAAATACACCGCCCCTCCGTAGTGCCGCAGTTGTAGTTAAAATTCATTTTGGCTAAGTAATTAGGATTTCCTGAATTCTTAATTTTTAGCCTACCAATAGACTGTTACACTTTAGGTGTCTTCCAAGGCACGCTATTATGCCCTCTTTTGCAATAAATACTCTTTATAGAAAATGTATTAAATGTAGCGGTTTCGAGCTTTCCGGATAGTACATACAATTTCGCGGCCCCGATGGTCCAGCGGTTTAGCACACCGACTTACTTCCGATGTTCCCGGGTTAGATTCCTCGCACAGTACAAACATTTGTATTCATGAGTACCTATGATTGTTTGTAAAGGCGTGAGTTTTCTATGTATATTTATTATGTATTTACAAAAAAATCTATGTATTTATATCAGTCATCTAGTACCCATTACACAAGTTCTGCTTAGCTTGTGACTAGGCGCTGTATGAATTATCCAGAAATCTATTATTATTATATTAATTGTATTAAAAAAATTGCCTATGTACCTATACATAGGTTATTCTTATTAGCCGCTTTTACAGTTTTATTCACATCCTTAATACCTTTTGATGAATGGTTAGTCAAACCCTGTTTTTATGCAAGACCTGTACTCATTTAATATATTAAAAGCCTACATTGACATTATTTTAATGCCTAAAAGTATTAATACTTTAACTATGCTTTAATCTCTTACTCATTTTTCGTCCTAGATAATGTATAAAGCCAATGAAAATAGTGTCTTAAACAACATTCCAAATATTCAAACACGTTAAATTTGGACACTTTTGTATTGAAAAATGAATTAGATTTTTAAGATTTTGTACATACAATGAAATAAATGTCATTGATATAAATAAAGTTTTTTATTTACATTTCAATAACAAAATTTTACTCATGCTTATTGTTGTTAAATAAAAATAAACATAAATATCTATATAATTTTATAGAGTTTTAAACAATAAAAATATGCCAAACAATAGAAACAGTAGTCAACATGGTAACAGCCATTAATTTTATTTGTTAAAAACAAGTTTAAAAGTAAACAATAAAAATGCATTGCACAGTGGTAATTTGAAAAAAATAATGTAAAATGTTTTTACCCTGCATTTGAGGAAATTCTCGCATACACATTTAAATATTCAAACATTTGCTAATAATAATTTATCTATTTGCTAACAGGATTTTTTTCTTGAGCATATAAATTTACTATAAGTATTTTCTCTCACAATGTGTCTATTATAATATAATATTAATCCTACAACTCTCAGTACCACATCTTTGAAAAATTTGATTTTTATAGCATACATTAATTCGACACTATTATACAGCGCACATTACACAGCGCTTTTTTTTATATAAAAATATAATGCTATACATTAATCTCCCTAAAATTTAAAATAAAAGAAAGTAGTATATGTACTAGATAGTAGTATAATAATAAAAGAAAACAACATTGAAATTGTCTAGTGACCAATTTCTATTTTCTTTTTTTCGCTATAAATATACAGGGATAATTACAGAAGGATAGGATTTTGATATTTGATTAGGATTGTAATATAACATTTAGCTAATAAAAAATTCCAACTAAGTTAATTACAGATAAAAAAGGTTATCCTGATCGTTCATAAATATTGCAATTATAACAAACTGTGTAAATTGTTTTCGAAATTTGACGAGTAATGTAGTAAGCTGACAGACAATGCTTGAAGAATTAATTTGTACCAAATTGAATGCTAATATAGTTTAAATTATTTTAACTTTAATAGTAGACGCCGTCGTTTCGTCAGCACACGTATATATTATTATAAAATAAAATATAATTTACAAAAAACAGTGTAGATGACTGTAATCAAATGAGAATATTAGAGGTATTTATTACGCTGACGCTGTGGTGACCACAATACTTGACAAACCCACATATTGCTGCAGCATATTTGTGACAGGGGCGAATAGTATTCACTTCTTCGATTCATTTATTTCTGAATGCGCTGCAGTGATTTCTATCACCAGAGAGGTACATAGAAATACTCACAATAACAGTTGTTATTTTTCCATTGTTCTATATACACATTATAATTATTTATTGGTACCTACTTATTTTAATACGCAACTCAATAATATTGCATTAAAATAAAAACATACATTGGCAAATAAATAAAAATATTAAAGACAAAATATTTTTAAATATTTGTGACGTCAATAAAAAAAGTCATAATTTGTCTATTCAGTTCAAATTCAAAGGTGGTGAAAATGGTGTTCAAATTCAAAATACAATAATGCAAATAAATAATTAGTGATTAAAACTTATCAACATCCTCGCTCATCTCTGAATTTGAAAAGCTTCGATATGAATTTGTAATAAAATAATAATGATATAAAAACCTTTAAAATTGGAATTACAAGCTTATTGCTCAATCACAGTCTTATTTTAGAGTTAATGTAGATTTCACGTGAAATGTATACTACTACATACTTATTTATAAAAAAGTGTAATGATTTATACAAGTTACAGAAAAGTATCGTAAGTTGTTTTCTACATATAAAAGGTAAGAATAATAATAGTACAAAAGGTAAAAGGTAAGTGACACAACACTTTAATCATTAAAATGAGTTTGTAGTTTTAATAAAAACAATAAATAATATTCTTATTATTGGATAATGTTTATGTTTATAGTCATTTGGTATATTTCAAAATAAGTATATCATTAATATCAATAAATTCATTCATTGCTTACATATAAAACAGTAGTTTCATACAGTGTCAGAATATATTTTGCTTTTTATTCTCAAATACTGATATTCTGACTGATAGAAACTCTGCATGTATTGCCAACACCTGGTTATTGGCAAGGGAATGTAATGAGGATTTTTCTTGCTGTAATGATTCAAATATATGGCCAGTGCAACCAGCATACCAGACCATGCGTACCTGTGATATGGAAAGAGAAAGGAAGAATTAAAACATAATATGTAGATTGAATTTTTTTTACGTATTCTAATGCCTGAGTGCAGTAGCCACTAGAACCCGCAGATCTTATGAAACAAAAAAAAAATTAAATTGATCTTGATAATAAAAATAATCTAGATGAATAATGTAATTTGGACTCTCATCGGGCGGTTGTACGTGTATAGTGATGAATAAAATTAAAATAAATTACTTTTTATAGTCGTATTTTTAATTAGACGAAGCTAGCTGACAGTAGCTAATGTCACTTTGTAAAATAATGTTGCCATATTTAAAGTAATAGTGATGCGTTCAGTTCTCAGTTAGATGAATGAACAATGAGTGTGAATAGTTAATCATTTCAAACTACAAAAGAAAATTGTATAAAAGTGCTCTGATATAAGTTACTAGTAACTACAATCAGTTTTTTGACGGCTTATTACAAAGCGCGCGGCTACTAGTGCCAACACAAATCAACGTCGCGAGCGTCTGTCGCCATTTTGTTCGTAATTCGGCTTCTAACCTCTGGTCTGAGAGCACCAATGTTTTTTTTGCGCTCACGCTGTTTTGTTAAGTTTTTCCTCATGTTGTGTTTGTGGTAATTGTTGGGTATATTGTATATTTACTATATTGTTTCATACAAACAATATGGATCCTCATCCAAGCACGTCAAGCCAAAGCTTGTCTCCAAGAAAGACGTTACCGAAAAACTTATGATACAAAACGTCTACAAATACGTATTTGAGAAAGCTGCTTCACTATTACCTATTGAGGCTCCCAAAAAAACAAATGTATTTCGAAAACAGCTGACATTTTGGGAATTGGTGTGACCTCAGTCTACAATGTATTAAAATAATACAAAGTGAACAATTTAAGTCTCCGGAGAAATGTGGACCGAAACACTGTTTCAAAGATAAATTATTATCAATTTTTAGACAGATTTATAATTAATGTCACTGAAAGCGACAATGATTTTTTTATCTGATGATGAATAAAAACAAATTTTGTAATAAGCGCAGTTTTTTATTTTTATTACCTAACTATATTATGTTATATATTGTTATATTTTATACATCTATAGTTTCAATTACATGATGAATTGTAAATAGGACAGTCTTAAAAGTTTCCACGCAATTTTTTCTTTACGTTTAAAATACTCGGTATTCAGTATAGGTAGATACAATAGGAACATAATCGTCGTAAACTCGTTGGTATGTATAAAGCACGGCTAAAATTCAAACCCCGTACCCGATATCGGCAGTTCGGCACACTAACTATTCACTAGACAATCGAGGCAATTCCATTAATTCAGGAGTTTTTTCAATGATTCACTTTGTCATAACACTATTTTTATTTTATCAAATACTGACAACACAGTAAACGTCAGTTGACTTCGTCTAATTAAAAATACGACTATAAGTACGTTAAGCCTATTCGTTACAATAAAATACATACAATTTTTAAAGAAATTTAAGCAGACATAAGAAATTAAAAGATGCTGCACAACATCTTTCTCTTCCGGAATGTCAATGAATGAGGGGGTGACGTCCAGGACAATATTTACGTACACGGATGAGTATCATCAGGTGGTCAAACTAGTTTGCCGTTCCTGTTATATGGACTAATAACCCTATTGCTAGCTATATATCATGTCAGGTGGACGGTTCCGCCTGTAAACCATAGGGGTAACTTGCCAATTGCTTTTTTTTTCGGACTATTCTAATGCTGTTGGCCGCAGCTGGTCTTTACAGCTTCATCGGACGTTAGGGGACGAGTGCAGATGGCACTCCAAACCCGCGGAAGGGCTTATGGAGTGGCTGAAGGCTAACTCCTGCCTGACGGATACGACTTTAGTCTGAGGGCACCACTAGGGGTTCGAACCTCGGCTCAGGCCGTCGTAATTTCGATCCCCGTTTGAATTGGACGGGGGATCGATCGGAGGGGCGCCCGGGGGCGCCGGTGCCAATTGCTAACTGACCTTACATCATGCTTATTTTATCATCACTGGTGCCCCGCCAGCGTAAAGTGTTAGCGCAGGCATATTGCATCATTCCATTATCATAAAAAATATATACTCACTGGAAGACAAAAGGCTTGCTGAACAGCAAGAATGATATCACAATAGACAGTGCTTTCCTCATGGTGGTAACAGTGACGGCCACAGTAGCACCGCATATACGTACTAGAGTCAGCACCGCCTGTAGGCCCATATATCCGCTTACACTTAGCAGAAATATATTCGTGTAGATTACGATTGGCGTCTGTAAATATATATCACTACTATAGTTGGCTTAATCGGTGCATACACTCAGGTAAAACAGCAAAAATATATGTTTATCGGTATTGTTATCTATATATATAAATAAAATTTGAGTGTCTGTTTGTAATATTAAAATTATCGTTTTTTACTGTACGCATATGAATATAAATACGGCACATACACCAAAATAACATTTTTTGTCTGTCTGTTTGTTCCAGCTAATCTCTGAAATGGCTAGACCGATTTTAACGAGACTTTTTTTGGCAGGTAGCTGATGTAATAATGAGTAACTTAGGCCACTTTTATTTTAGAGATTCTTTTATTTTAGAAAAATAAAGTTAAATTCGACGCGAACGAAGTCGAGGGTATATCTAGTAATATATAAAGTAGAAAAGTTTCTTTATTTATTAGTTTGAACACTAATTTCTGGCACTAGCATTTCATAGCTCTATTAGTAGTTTACCGGGCATTAACTCTCTCTTTTTCTATCAACGGCCTCGGTGGTCTAGCGGTTTAGCATACAACTTAAATTCCAATGATCGCGAGTTCGATTCTTCGCAAGTTGTTGTATTTTTTGTTTTGCCGTTTGAGCCTGAATGATGAAAAATATCTAGATATCTAATAACGTATACAAACGTGTTGGTAGACCTTAATAATGTATTTCCGTATATTTGTCCGTTGTCGTACAAGACTCGATGGGGCTGTATGAATTATCGTCGGAACTGGGTTATTATTAAATTTTACACTTAACGCGAATACTAAGCAAAAAAGAGATCAAGCACAGGAGTAAAATTTCATAAGGAAATCATAAAATACCTTTGAACAGTAAACGAAACCATCCACAAATATGCCGCTGACACTTGTTATTACCAACAAATATATACATGCGATCGCATATGAATAAAACACCACTTCATTGTTGGATGCTTGGAATTGCTTCATAGCTTTCTCTTGAACATTGCCTATTATAGCATCACATAATAATGCAAGCAGTATTACTACAACACCTATGAAGTCGAAATTTGGCGAAGTTTTTGAGTCGGCTGCAAATAAGTATAGAAATTTTTATACAGCACTTTTTAGAAACTCTGATAACAAAACTATATACACAAGTGCTAGTTTGTTGGGCCTTACCACAAATTAAATAGTATACTTATATATAATCAAATTCTGACCAGTGAATGTTTGATATGATAATCTATCTACACACTACAAGATCTTAAAGACCAATCTATAAATACTTGAGGGAGACTGTCAATATCATCTGCATGGGCACCTCAGTGTCATCTATTTGAGCCACCAAGCAACTTGCTTTGTAAGCAGTGTTTTAGATATATGATGCAATTAGACAGTGAAATTAGTGATAAAAGGGATGACATCTTAGTTCACAAAGTGACAACACAGGAGTGGTATGGTGGATGTCACATGATGTCTGTACTGCATGTATATTGATAATGGTCACCACTTGCCTTCAGGTGGGTAGTCAGTTTGTTTGCTATTCCAATTTCATATAAAACATTGAATAAAAAATCAATAAAAGATATTACCCAATGTGAACATAGTCAATCCGATACACATAATAATAGCAGCAATATAATCCAAAAATCCATATCTTTTTCCTAATATAATGATACTGCCAATCATTACTGGTATTAATTTGCAACTCTTGAATATTAGTTGTGTGGGATAGTTGAGATAACTTAATGCCAGATTAGACAATGACATAGTACCTAATGTCAGTGCTGCTAAAATTGCATAGGTTTTTAATGGCACTCTGAAAATAAAAGTATTAATTAATATCAGGTGGTGTTTTTTTCTAAATCAAGGCACAGAATTAGAGGTTAACAATATCATTATATTATTATATTGTTAATGCCTATATTTGATGAACCATTGTGTTGGAAACTATTATAAACCTTTTTTATTATCTATATTTTTTTATGAACACCACATTGTTTTACAATTTACATGTGAAATAAGTCATATAATATTCTGTGACTATACCAGTACCATTTTCTTTGCTTGTCTTGTTTTGATCTCACACCTTCACACATTGGATCTATTAGAAAGCAAATTATGCATATAACCAAATTATATCAGATCTTATATCTGGACATTATAGATATTGAAGAGGAAATTTACACGATACAATCAAACCCCTAGCTACCCTGTCCATGTGCCACCTGCAACAGTTTTTATATCAACAACCCATTTCTTTAATGGTATTGCTGGTTTTCTGTCATTGTGACTTGTAAACCAATTCATGATGGGGAGAAATACATTGTCAGCAAAGTAATGTATCATGTAGGGTTGACCTCCATACAGTTCCCCCTGGAAACCATAGTGAGGGGAAATTTTGTTAGAAGTTTCATTTATTTAAAACATATTTAGGTCTATATGACACTCATTTGTAGACAGAAAAATAGCTAATTACATATTTTCAATATTAACATTTAGCTTTGAATTAGTCTGAGATACTCACTTTCTCTTGATTGGATTCCTTATTACAGACTCTACATAACTCAGTAGCATTGTTATAAGGAATTGTACTAATGTTATATATAAACTCACAGGTTTTACTTCAGGCACCGAGAATATTAATTCTAAGAAATATCCATAGGCTAGATAACAAATAAATACAAATACTGAACAACATAAAAATTGTGTTAATTGACTATATGGAGTTATATCTAAACATAATATATTTATCTCTGTTTTTGAAGGCCTCACACTACCCGATTGGTCAACATTAATTATAATCTCCTTTTGTGATTTCATTTTATTTGAGTATACTTTGTAATGTTTATGACATATAAATCTTTATAATATTAAATTGTTGATAATCTTCTTGCTAAGTTGTCATCTGTAAATATTACCAAAAAGTGATTTATAAACATTATTTGTAAGTTCGATGTCTTTGAATATATTAATTTTGGATCGGAGTATCGCTTAATGGTAATTAAAAGACTGAATTTATAAGAAATAGAAAAAGACCAAAATTAAATTGAAAGATTGATAAGTATTTATATATACTCATAAGACTTGTCATATCAATTAAATGTAAGTTTATTTTATTCCTATTTACACTATAAAAAAAATTGTCATATGTACCTTGTTAATTAAAAAGAAATTTATTAAAATCATATTTTTGTATTCATAAAATTAAAATTATATTTCATATAGGTTAATTAGGTTATGTTAGTAAAACAAATACTTTTTTTTATAATTGCTTTACGGCTACGAGTACTATTTTCACTAAATTAACATGTAAGTAAAAAACTCTTTACCGGTTTGCTACTATACCATGAAAACCGGTTTCAGAAAAGCTGTATATTATTAAAATCCTTTTTATTATCCATTATTAATATCTTTTTTAGAAAAAAATAAATATCAATTAATATTTATAGAATTATTGCATGTATTAAATATACAATCCATATCTAATAAATAAGCACAGCAAAAAAGGTTGAACAACCATCTGACAAAATAACGATATTCCACTATTGCCATTAAGTTTACTAACATGAAAAGAAATCTAGCATAGCATAAATTAATATTTAGTTTCAGCATTATATACGCTTTAAGATTGCTTCTTATTTAAATTTATTACAATTAATTACGAAACCTACCACGCAATATCATTTTATCTGTGGTTGATTTAATATCTACTGCTTGTGATTGACACTGGTCATAGTGTCCATAATTGCAGTGTGTTGGCTGAAAGGAAATATCCAGGGCCGTAAATCCTTAATAAAAAAAAAAATTGCAGTGTTTAGGGATGTTGATATATCGATATAAAATATCCATATGTTTGGTAAAACTATTGTATCGTCTTCAGATCAATTATTATTAAGTTAAGATATAAATACCAATGTAAATGAAATTTATTAAAGATTTAAATTAAAACTAATGTATATTGAAATATGTATTGATAACTGTTGAGATTTATAAAATGAAATATCGATATATCGATAATTTCTGACAAGGCTACCATATTCATGTCGTTCGCAAACAAAATAGACAAAAGTACAATACAATTATTATACCAATTTCAATTTATCTTGTAAAATCTTTTGTAATTATTTGTTATACGTTAATTTATTATCTGAGGTAAATGTGTTTTTAATAAGCTATAATTGTATTCTTAAAAATCTTACTATAATTCTAAATAATTGGTGTAATATTGCAGATCGTCTAAGGAAGTAGTCAAACTGGATTGAACTGTAATAATGGATTCTGATTCGGCCGATGCAAACTTTTGCCGGTTTTGCCGTTCGGAGGCCTCATCTGATCGACCTTTATTCCACCCGTGCATCTGCACGGGCTCCATAAAATGGATACATCAAGAATGTCTAGTACAATGGATGCGATACTCGCGGAAGGAAATTTGCGAATTGTGCGGCCATCGTTTCTCATTTATGCCGATCTATTCTCCGGATATGCCGCGAAGATTGCCAATCCGGGACGTGGTCGGCGGCCTTGTAACATCCGTAGCCTCTGCAGTTAAGGACTGGCTGCATTACACTCTCGTTGCCCTTGCTTGGCTTGGAATCGTCCCCCTGACCGCCTGCAGAACCTATAGGTGTCTATTTTCGGGTTCTCTAGAACCAGTGATATCTTTGCCATTTGACATTGTGTCTGCTGAAAACCTTGCTAAGGATGTTTTCTCTGGTTGCTTTGTTGTGACTTGCACTCTGTTCTCATTCATCGGTCTGGTCTGGCTGAGAGAGCAGATCATGCATGGAGGTGGCCCAGACTGGATGGAAAGGGAGAACTTACCTCCACCTGAAAATGTTGTACCTTTACCTAACAACAACAATGAGCGGGTGAATGAAGCAGCAGAGGATGCTCCTAGAGATGAGAATGGAGAAGGTGTGGAAGACCCTTTGGTTGGAGATGAGGCAAATTGGAATCCTATGGAATGGGACCGTGCTGCAGCTGAAGAACTAACATGGGCTCGATTGTTAGGCTTAGATGGGTCTATGGTGTTTTTAGAACATGTTTTCTGGGTTGTGTCTTTGAACACACTGTTTATAGTGGTGTTTGCTTTCTGTCCATACCACTTTGGAAGATTTGGTGCAGCATTAGCTGGGTTCACAGCAGAAGGCCCTTTTGCTGGCCCACTGACAGCTCTGGCAGGTTATTTGTTAGTGGGTACTATTTTGGCAGTTTTTCATGGATTCGCCTCATTGTTCCGATTGAGAGGTTTAAAGAAAGCTCTGGGATTCTGTTATGTTGTAGTGAAAGTGGCTCTACTCTCTGTTGTGGAGGTAAGTTTGGATAATTCTAAATTGAAAATTTATTTTTCTTGTTATATCACATCTATTGAGAATATTGTAAGTAGACAAAGCTATCGAAAACAAACTAGGACCAAAACCAGTTATCTATTGAGAGTAAAAGAAAAGTTCATGAAGCATTATTAAATTACACGTTATAAAATATTAAAGATATATATAATTATAAATGTTAAAATAATAATTGAAATAGAATACTATCTGAATTATACTTCAATTATTATTAGTTTTTAATTTTCCTTAATAAATTCAAAAGAAATACACTGGACCCGCGTTAATTGTCCCCTGTCTTATCCGGCCCCCTTGTAATCTGACATGGTCTATTATTTTTATTTTTTTTTCACAATCTTCGCTAATGCATGATTGGATAAATTTGAACAAGTTTGAACTTGTACCCATCACCACTGTTGTACTGGATGCATAGGGTATTGTTTTAATTATGATTGCTTAGTTTGATTTACATGTGATGGATGAAGATAGCGGTACATATAGCATGTGTTTATTGTTTATTCATCCTGTATTACATATCAGCTCAGAAGCAAAAGCACAAAAGACTAACAATTAAAGAAAAATGTGATATTTTAGACCTCATTATGAATCTTTTAGTAGTTGATATACATAATGAAGTAAGATTTGTACTTCAGAGTGCATATACATATATACATATATAGCATATATAATAAAGAATCTTATCACCTGATCTGTAATTTGTCAGATTACAAGGTACTCATTTGTAAAAAAATTTGGACTATAGAGGACCCCTTAGGCCCCCTCTATAATCCGACAAATTTGATTGTCCGACATTGCCCTGCAAAACGTTTGTCGGATAACCAGGGATCCACTGTACATTATTTCTATTGGTTTTGTGATGGTTACAAGGTTGTTTTGATGATAATTTTATACATGTAGATTGATTTAATGATTAAATCTATATTTACCATTTGGTATGTATACTTTATAGTTTGCATATAGAAATAGCAAAGAATTAAAAATCTTTTGAGGTTCCATAAAATATTATTTTTTGTATCCACACTTAATTATATCAGTTTTTAGATCTCAAAATACATATTTGTTTTTATTTCTAATAAAAAACATTGTTTCCTGAAGAAAACATTAACAGTACCTAATGAATAATAAAAATCATTGTGGCATTGCTAAAATTATATATTTTCTGAAGTAGTGAAATAGCAAATAAATGTGACCCTAGAAACTGCTTAACCATATTTAATTAGATTGAGTAAAAATCGGGAACATAAATTAATAAGAAAATAATGTTTCTGGACCTCTTTACATGTTAGATAGATTTCCAATTTTTTTTAATACTTATATCTGTAAAAAGTTTGAAATACTCTATCTACCCTTGAAGTATACTCCACTCTAAGACACTGATGATTTAAATTGCATTATTCAAGATATTTCTGCAAAAAATCTGATAAAAAAAAATGAATAGAAATAGTAGCATATTAGTGATAATAAAAAAAATAGTGCATAATCTGTTTGGTACCTATATATAGATAAATATAAAAAACACAATAAATTTTGTCTGCACTGTAATCTAAACTCAATATCAATTCTAATTCATTCCTATACTCTTAATTTGAAACATAATTAACTAAACAGACTAAATCATTAACATTTAGTAAGTTCGTTAATTGACAACAAAATATGGGATTAATAATAATACTTTTCTCATAATTATCAAGAGTATAAATATATGTGAAACTATGCAATTCATTGACTTTCATCAGAATTATTTTCCAGACCATGAAACATTCCAGGAAATGATGAGATACAATAAAAAAAATGATTTATATAATATATGATTTATATATACAATAATTTTCATGATTTAAATGCAAAATATTACTTGATTATTATACTTAGTTTTTTTATTGTGTACTTATGATATTTCAGGTGATAAATTTTATTTATTTTTGTAGATCGGAGTAATCCCACTAGTATGTGGTTGGTGGCTAGACTTATGCTCCCTTTCAATGTTTGATGCAACACTCAAAGACAGAGAGGCAAGTCTGCAGGCAGCACCTTGGACTCTTATGTTCATCCACTGGCTCGTTGGGATGGTCTATGTCTATTACTTTGCATCATTTATCCTTCTACTTAGAGAAGTTTTAAGGCCAGGAGTGCTATGGTTCTTGAAGAACTTGAATGACCCAGACTTTAGTCCTGTGCAGGTATTTTTGCTTCTTTTATTTTTGGATTTCTTATAGTATGTAGTAAAGACCACCTGCAACAGCATTAGAATAGTTTGATTAAATAAAATTTCAATCAAAAGCCATCTATTTTCAAGTTGTATAATTTGTACATTCATGTTTTGTGTAATACTTAACATAGTAACTTAGTTTAGGCTATTGATTTTTTATACATTGGAAAATGAGTTATGCTTCACATGATTTATCTATTTCAACCTCAGACCCATCATTATTCCAATTTGTAGTAGCTACAGTTAGAATTTCATAGTTATACTATGTATATTTAACATTTTCAGGAAATGATACATCTATCGGTGTGGTCCCACATTCGTCGTCTTGTGGTGTCCGCTATGATTTTCGGCACTGCTGTTCTGTTTATGTTATGGCTACCAATCAGATTGATTAAGTATGTCCTACCCGGATTCCTGCCATACGCGGTAGCAGTTCATACGGAAGCTCCTGTTAATGAGTTGAGCTTGGAATTGCTCTTATTACAGGTGACTTTTTAACTTAAAAAATTAAGAAAATATATTTTTTCTGAATGTTCCTTTTTGTATATATCTATGTCATATCTTTCTAGTTAATATACCAATCTTGATATATATTTTTTAAACAAAATCCTTTCACTTATTGGTTTTTTAATTACATTAGTTTTATTACGTTACTGTGCAACATATGCGATAGATGTGTATGACGTGTATAGCATGAGAGAGATGTGAATCTATGTATAAACTCACTTTACTTTCTTACACTTTTCCATAAACAGTGTATCATGAGGTTTGTAAACAATGCCTAAAAAGTTCATATGGCACGTCAGGTGATTTTGCCCGCGCTGCTGGAGCAGTCGCACACGCGCACATGGCTGAAGGCAGCGCTGCGGGCGTGGTGCGCGGCCGCGGCCGGAGCGCTAGGACTGCGTTCGTACCTGCTGGGCGAGCGCAGTGCTGCGCCGCGCCGACACGCGCGCCACCAGCCACCGCCGCCGCTGCAGCTCGGTGCCGCTCACCAGGTCAGGCTTGTTCTTCATTAGTGTAGTATCTGTTACGCCCCACTCCTCACTTGTGTAATACCTAGAGACTTACTGTATGTTAACTTAGAACGACATGTATTTTATCGCTCATTCATGTCGTGATGAGTCTGCGTTCCGAATGAGGGGTATAATAAAAAATATGATTATTCAAAAGTGCTTATATTGAGTTTATTTGAATGAAGATTACTACTATTCCTATAAAACGTTTATTGGTGTACGCAGGCGCTGATGCGGCGCGATGGACCTGCCGGGTTCGAGCCGTACGTGCGTGCGGCGTGGTTCCCATTACGGCTGGCGGCGCTGCTCGCGCTCGTTGCAGTCTCTCTCGTGCTCGCCAGTGCTATGACGCTCGTACGTATTATATCCTTTTTTCCCCACCCTCGCACGTCTTGTTCATAACTTAATAGCCACCCTCTATTCGGTGGTACTCTTAAGAGTAGAACTACAGCCCTATTATTGTATGGATTTCAATATATTTTAACGGATTATTGTAGTTGGGGGGAATATTTTTTATTCTGATTATTTCATGGAAACAGTTAATTATCTGTTACAAGTGACGGTAATTCAAATAGAGCCTACTTTTAAGAAAATACATGGGCTTATGTTACTCAGAAATGTAGTCTGATTTCATGATTAATAAAAATTGTGCTCTTAATTTCTTTCTGGTTTTATTTTTAGGTAATACCTGTTGCTATTGGAAGAAAAGTTATGGCTTTATGGTTACCCAAGGCATCGGATGGGGTGCATGAATTGTATACAGCTGCCTGTGGTGAGTTACCTCATGGTGTACGTAGCTTTATTCTTTAAAATAATTTTCACATATTTTTAATAAAATAAAAAAATTCTAAGCGATCGTTTCACTTGTGTCTATTATAGTTAACTACAGTTTTGTTATTTAAGTTATATGCTGATGTTTTGCCACTGGATTGTATGAATGGAGGATCAATTGTAATATATTTGCGGTCAATGATTGTTCTAAATTATTTGCAATATTATGACAACTGACAGTTTTACAATTATAACTAGAATAATTATCATATTCAATATAATTATATTGAATATGATAATTATTCTTACCTTATAACATACATTTAAATGTATAATATAAGGTAAGCACGCGTGTTCAGTCACTTGAAACCAGGCTTGATATTATCCAAGTACAATATATAACGAAATGCAAATGTGGCTGGCTACTAACATATCGTGGCAATGAATGCGGGCGTGTGTATGCAGGTATGTACGCGTGCTGGGCGCTGGGACGCGGCGGCGGGCTGGCCGCAGGGTGGGCGCGCGGCGGGCGGGCGGCGCTGGCGGCGCGTGCTGCGCTGTGGGCGCGGCGGGCTGCGCGCGCTGCTCTGGCCGCGCTCGCGCTGCTCGGGGTCGTGCCGCTCATGTTCGGGATGCTGCTCGAGCTGGTAAGTGTTCTGTGCGTGTGTGTGGCGGTGCCGTGTTCGCGTTAGACAGTGCGCACCGCGCTGGCCGCGGTCGTATTGGTCGTTGTTGTGTTCGGAATGCTGCTTGAGTTAGTGAGTGTTGACGCACGTGTGTGGCGGAGTTGTGGGCACGCTGCTCGGTGTCGTGCCGGTCATGTGCGGGATGCTGCTTGGTTGGAGTTGATTAGAGTTGATGCACGTGTGTAACGGTGCAGATGGCGCGCGCTGAGATTGGTACGCTCGTGCTACCCGGCGTTATGTCGTTCATGTTCGAGCTAGAGCTGCTCGAGCTAGTGTTCACGCGTGTGTATCGTGCAGCCGTTAGCGAATATCATCCTTCTGAGTTAGAACAATAAAATGTCTTCTGCGTAAAAGAAGTTGTGAGAACAGTTAATATTATATGATATTTATTTACGTACAGGTATTGGTCATCCCGCTGCGCGTGCCGCTGGAGCAGTCGCCGGTGCTGTTCGTGTGGCAGGACTGGGCGCTGGGCGTGCTGTACACTAAAATAGTGTGCGCGCTCACCATGATGGGCCCCGACTGGTCGATGCGTCGCGCCATCGAGAAGGCGTACCGCGACGGCATCCGTGAGATGGATCTCAAGTCAGTTCATCTTAAATTCACATTGCACTCTTTTGTAATAGTATTAAAAAAGAGAGTTTTTTATTAAGGGGTTTGAGTTATTTCTAGGCGACTAAACCTATACTATTGCGATCTATTGTGCTCGCCATATTTTAGAGTTCGCTACTTAGACCAATCAGGGATTATAATTGAAAGACAGAAATACATTTATCCATCATCAGGAGAAATAATACACTTTACTTCAACACAAAATTGTAATGGAATTGCAATTACTTGTGGTAATGGAAATAATATGTACACAGCTAAAATACATATACTTAATAAAATGCTACAGTTTAAAAGTATTTTTTTAATATTTTTATTGGGACCTGCAGCACTGCGACGTACAAAAAATTTTGTACTCGCCTTTTTTCATACTTCATTACCTAGACCAGTCAGGGACAAGAATAGAAGGATATGAACTAATAATAGAAACTTTCCAAAGATTTCCTTTGTTCATGTCGTTTATGTATGAGTAGGCAACGGCGACATAGGATGTGTAGCGTATGTAGTAACTAAAAAACAAAAACATAGCGCGTTGTAGCAATTGAACAACTAGTTTCAATAAAAACTAATTTCTAAAAGAATTATAAACGTCGTGCAGGTTCATCCTGCGGTCGGTGGCAGCGCCGATCGTGTGCTGGCTGGGGCTGGCGCTGGCCGTGCCGTACGTGTTCGCGCACAGCGTGGCGCCGCTGGTGGTGACGTCACCGGCGCAGCGGAATCTGTTAGCGCGTCGTGTCTACCCCGCACTGCTGCTCGTAGCGCTCCTCGCAGCGCTCACCACCTTCCAGGTACGACCTTACTTATCATACACGGTCAGAATGGGTATACTCAGCTACAAGGATGTCTAAGTACCTATGCTAACGAACAATTTTGTTCTACAACGTTAATTGAAACCATATATTTTACTTGAGAAAAATGTATTAACAATTGTTGTTATATAAAAATACAATAACAACAAATGAAATGCCGAAAAAGATAAATTCGTTTATTTACCATAAAATTTGTTATAGTTTTATTTTATATGTGTATAGGTAAAAGGAAAACTATAGAAAGAGACTTGGTATACGGAGATATATATTAGGAAACTATTGACAAGACAGAATTGAAGTATATACAAGAAAGTAATATTTAAGAACTATAAATTTAAATATAAGTTTAGAAAAAAAAATACGAATAGCCAGATACAACAAAATTATTCGTGTTAAGATCCGGTTAACAATATGAATAATGTACATTAAACATAACAATATATTTCTTGGTTTAGGTCCGGCAATTCCGGAAGTTATACGAACACATAAAGAATGACAAGTACCTCGTTGGACAGCGGCTGGTCAATTACGATCACCGACGGCATAAGCAGGCCAGCGCGGTCACCAACTAGACACCGGCGGTACACATACGTGTGAGAGAGAGGCTAACTGTTTAAGAGGCCCTCCATACTCAGAATCGCAGTTGTGATTGCAATAAAATATAATACTATCTTTGTTTTATATAAAACATGATTCTCGAGTGGTATCCCCATCCAAATAGAGCGACCAACTTAATTTTATTGTGCGGAGGCAACTGATAAGGATGATGTTTGACCCTATGATTTATGAGCGAGGCCTATTGTGGAATGATTTTGATGAGTGAAATGATGAAGAGCCTAGTGGCACAATCTAGGAATTTCCCACCTCACTATTCCTGAGTCTGATTGTTTGTATCAGCCTGGTTGTTTTTCTACATATATTATGAATGTATTTTAAAAATTATTCAAATATATCCGTCTATAAGTTGTACTCATAGTAGAAACTCTGCTTAGTTTGTGGCTAAATGGCTCTGTGTGAGTTATCTCAGTATAGTTATATATTTAAATAATACTTTCGCCCTTGACTTTGCTAATACTTTCGTATACGCTATCTGTTGTTTATTATTAAATGACAGCCCTAAAGTTGACATATCTACTCCGCCATCCATTATTTATTAAGTAATAAAATAATATTAAAAAAATATTCACAAGTCACTGCTTTTTAGGGATATTTTTCTTAACTTTCTTTAACATATTACCCAATACAGCGTGTTCTATGAATATTTAATACTAATTCCTCTATCTGTTTTCACGTGAAACTAACTTACAAAATGTTTATTTCTTCGTCACTATTATTTTATATGTAAAAATTTTTTTTATTGAAATAAATTAGTTTATTTAGTTTCAATAAATATATGAAATTATATTGAAAATCACCTGTCTATCTTTGTTGTGTTGTGGATGATTTATGAACGATGACAAATTGTTTACAATGTCAGATAAGTGATAAAAATAAAGGAAAAGATTGACCTAAAATATTAAGAAAGCACTGTGTTGAATGTGAGGTGTATGACAGAGAGAAAATATGAGAAGAGTGAAGAGATCAGTGGAGTAAGAAAACATACCGCCTCAACCCCTAGGAGTGTATTAAAGGTACGGAAATGGATATGGTTGAAAGACAGATTTGGAAACAATAGTATTTATTTTTGTTGGGACCACTGCAAATGTCTCGATATTATACACATTGCATACATACGACTTTGCGATTCTCATTAGAGAGGGCCTCAATATTTATAGGTACATATATACTTCATTTTAGTTTGATTAATTAAATGTTTATATTCCTGTATATTCATATTATCGATAATAAATACGTAAGCGAGGTACAGTGATAAAGTACATTACATCGTTTTAAATCTGTGCCTATATTTTTATGGTGTCTCTTCGTTTTCTTATACCAGACAAAATGATTTAACTCAGATCATAATTTATACCATATAACGTACTTTTATCGAAATGTTATCTCAATTTTAAATGGAACATTGATTTAAAATGGTGTAAAAGTAATAGTCACTTTATTCAAGTGTCAAGTTTTTGCAACGTTCTATTAGCTGGGTGCGGTACCTTGTCTTTATTAAAAAAAACATGGGCAAGAGTCTGGCTACTCACCCCAGTGTTTAATTTATTGAAATAATCATCGTAACTAGTATAACCATTTGTATATTTTCTGATTTTATAGCCTTGTGTTCTTTTTTCATGTCTATAAGGTTTTAAATTGAACAGATTAGGGTTTGTAAATGTCTGGGAATTCGCAAAATTCGAGCTGGCCTCGTGCGTTTTGGTAGACTTTTAGTATGACTAAAATAATGAGCCCTACTCCTCCAGATACACGAGCCGCTATATGAGAGTTCTTCCTTTCCTAGTCTTCTACTTGTTCTGTCTAAATATTTAGTTGTACAGGCATTATGAGCTTGTTAGTGGTAAGTTAAATTTTTGGGTTAAAATATTTTACTATACCTATACTCTATACTCATGTATTTAATTATGATTTATATCGATCAGAGGTGTAATTCAAATGCTAGCTCCTAGGGACTGTACTGCTCATAATTTTTTAAAGGAATGTGACGTCACTATGGATGAAATTCATTGAAACTTACAGGTATATACTATTTAAATGCTGGATGATTTTTGTGACGAACTTCTTTTGGAACATAGTGAAAACATTTGAATGTCTTCAATAATCGGAATGTTATTGAATAAATAAACTAACATGTGTATAACATACTTGTACTACTCGTTGATTGCTCTGACATATCTATTTAATCATTCTAGAAATTTCTCATATTAGTTCTTTATTCTTGAAGATGTATTAAATCATGCACCCAGCTAATAAGATGTAAAATTCAATACCAGTATGTCACAGGTCCTTTAGACTAGTTTCTCTTCTATTTTAGACACAGGTTTGTTTTTTTAAAGCACAATGTGTATGTTATTGGCTTTACCGTTGACTGTTGCAGTTGCGGACCTTACAACTCGCATTTCTATTTGCAACTATCAAATGTTTATTCGGTTTCATTCATTGCATCTGTTTTACAGAATCATGTGTCAGGTTTTCTGTTACATATATATTTTTTTAATCTTTCGTATGGTGAAGCGACTGTAAGCACAATTCATTTTATATACTGCTGCATGTAATATACATTAATAGATGACGATTTTTCTTTTATTTTAAGATTATATGTAAAAGAAGCATCAATTATCAACGAGAATACAATGAGCAGTGAGAGTAATAATCGGCGCTTAACGATACGAAGAGTGAAAGAACTTTGTTTAACTAAAATATTCGAAATTAGTTACGTTACCAATATAACTCGTACAAATCATTATACCGATACCATAATCGCTTATTTTTGTTGCAATAAGTTTATATCTATTTATATAAATTATAGGATTATAAAATTGGTCTTTTTTGTATAACATATATGTAGTAGGTATTTCTAATAAAAACAGAAGCCAATACTCCACGTCCCGTAAATAATAAGTGTCACTTGTAACTTTTTTTAACATCTGTGTTTATTTGAGATATAATCTGAGAATTTATCTCTCTGTATCTAAATATCTATTTGGAATATATATGGATTATTTCTCGAAAAGTCGAGATGTAGCCGAAACACGAGAACTGTCGATACTATTTCTTATTATTTTATCTTATATTGTTATAAATTCTTTTTAAAAGACGTTAAAGTGAGAATCGAATTTCTTATATTGATCGGACATTATGCTGTATCATTTGAATGTATTTGCGACTCTGAATATATATTTTTTCATTTATAATCATCTTTATTATATATGCTGGGTTAGTCATAGGAGAATACTCATGAAACTAGTTTCAATTTCATGAGTATGTTAGAAATAGTTGAATACGGAACATAAATTTAGAATTTTCATATTAATGTATATTTAATCAGATTAATAGTTTATTTTACCTGGTAATTTAAAAAATGGACCGCTCACATGAAGATCTGTTCGCCCTACGGTTGACTGGGAGAAAATGCCTCAAGCTGTTAAGTCCGAAATGTGCACCTCAATTGTGTATTAAAGTTTTAATAAATAAATTGGTCATCGAGTTAGAAAAAAATATTTATATTATATTATTAATATCTACAAATACCTACACTAGAACAGGGAATGGACTCTCTTATCATTTATTATTTTACTGTACAATATTATCGATGATCTACCATTCTACTGATGGTTTCTGGTTATGAATTGTGAATGGTAGGACATTTGATGTCGAAATTTAACATCTCATAGTCCAACTGCATTAGCGTTTATATGAGAAAGACGAAGATGAAATGAAGAATTAGGAAGATGATGTATCTATGTCTTACTACACATCAGTGCGACAGCGATTGTGCCGTTATCGATTTGTTTGTCACTTTTAGACCCTGTATTCGCATTTTATTGTATTGTATTATTATTATTATAATATATAAAAATGGTTTGTATTCCCATTCGTATAGGTCGATTATGCCTAAAAATCGCAATGTAATTTTCAGTTCATATTTTAAAAACTGTACTTTACATAAATTATAGGAAAAAACTAATAAATAAAAATAAAAAGTAAGCGAGCCTATCATATAGAGGAATTTCTTCTAGGCATCCAAGACAATAAAGAGGAACCCAGTGTAATTCGTGTAAACGATCTACAATATATGAATTCTGTTATTATAGGTAAATATGTAATAAACATTAACCTTTATTTCATTTATTCCTATGTCATAATTAGTTTTTGTTTGAGTGCAATAACAACCTTTCAACCAATAATCGCATACATAACTATATCGATCCACCTAATGTGGAATTGTCTAGAGAGGTATAATATTAATATTAAAGTATTTAGAAAAATAGGGCGTGCTTTGTATAAACATACCCAGTTAAAAAAAGTTTCGTATATTAGACCGTAATAATATACAATTAGTGGGTATATTATCATTGATCAGGCGTACAAAGCAAATCCTATTGTGATTCATATGCAGTATAGTTCAGTATATTATTAATAATATATTTCGATATATTGTGAGACGTATCTATTGGTTAGAGAGGTTAAAAAACATGAATGTGTGACGTAATTTACTTGTGATCCACACGTAACGTATTTTGTCTTTTCGGATCTTTTGTAATTATTGTATTGTGAATTTAGTTTATTCATTATAAATGCGAAAGAGCGTATCTGTTTATTTTATCTTGCCTTTCTGTCATTTGTATACCAAGTATAGCAATAGGATAACTGACTACTATTGAAACAGTTTTATATACATAAGTTCATCTTATAACTTTATATAGTACATTTTTACGATTCCATAAGATTTTATTCTTTTTTATTAAAGTTTGTTAATATTATAATAAAAAAGCATACCAAAATTCCAACATAAACCCTAAGAATTGATAATTATTTTCAAATCGAGGAAAGTTCATTGAAATATTCTTGCTAGTAGGTGTCAAAATATTTTTTAATTTTAAGAGCCATTGTTTATTTCTAATCAGAAGTACGTATAGTACCGTTCAATTTGATAGATTCTCATAAGATTTTACTAAGCCTTTTGGCTTTAACGAATTTTTTTTGTTAATACGTAGGTAGTACTTATTACCTCACGTAGTTAATTTGACAGATGTAGTTTCAAACTATTTTGAATTCTTCGTAACTGCAACCGTTAAATCATTCACACATTACCACAAGTGTTAATATTAAATTGTTTGAAGTGATAATTAGCAACGGCTTTACATATTTAAGGGCCAGGAGATGAAACGTATTTAAAGTGATCGCTACATTTTTGCCTAGGCAAATATTTGCTATCTGTGGCGACAAGCGCGCCATTAATTGCCATCTATATTTGGGCAATAGGTGCGTTAAATTGTGGTAGTTACGTAGATAAAATTATTTTTATTTGATTACTTGTTAAGTAGTTTTTTAATTATTTATTATATACTGCTCAATCGTATTTTTGATCCATTTTCTATATTTTTTTCATAACAAGTGGCCTATAGGGTATATATATATGTAAAATCCTGTTTGTTGTGACATATACCAGCATCTGTTTGTGTTATAATGTATTTGTTACTCTCACTACATATACTTTTTTTCCATTTTAATTACAGTACTGTTTAGTTTTGTTTGCATAATATTTTTTTTAATGGAACTGAAATTAAATCGAGAGTATTTTTGATTTCAGTATCTATATTCTTTTATACTATCCATTCTAACTATTGTTATAGTGAATAAATGTAGAATTGTAAATAAACTATGTGTCTATGGAATATACGTGCGGTAATACCATTAAAAGCTGAATATTGAATAAATGAGATTTAACGCATAACACATAAATATGGATTACTATTATTTAATAGTACTTTTTGTAATTTGCACATTTATAAATATAAGTTTATAGTGTTACTCTATTTAATTTTTTAATTAATAGTCTTTACCTACATATATTTGAAATAGAGTTCATTAAAAAAAGTTTGAATGATTTTGGAGCAATTCATTACTGTGTAATTATAGGCCACTTGGTAGATTATTTCTTATACAATAATAGGAGAGGTGTATGTGCCGCGCATACTCTTATAATTATTATC